GTTTTTCATTTGTTCTGTTTTTCATTTTCTCATTCATTCATTCTATTTATCACAACTAAGTCTTGATCAGTACCGTCAAATGATGTTGTATTAATGACTTGTGTTTGTCTCTTTTTGGCAGACTGTCCAGAGCAGTCCACTTTCATTGAGGAACACTTTTAAAGTTAGTATTTGTTTCTTAAAAAAGCAATCCATAATTAACTAAATTATTAACCAGTAAATGTATATACACCTACTTGCGAAAACGTTGTCATAAAAAAATAGAACATTTGTATTTTAGTAAAAAGAAATAAATTAAAAAGACAAAAGAAGATCACTGAGGCTGAACACTTTCTTTTGTTTTGTTTTAATTTATTCCTTTTTACTAAATTCGAATGTTCTATTTTCTATGACAACGTTTCTGCAAGTAGGTGTATATCAACCATAACAAAGACAAGAGGACTGGTTTTTAGATTTCAGAGAAACAATACGAATGGACAGCACTTGCAGCATGCGGTAAGATCAGAAGATGGAAAGAAATTGATGACATTCTAAAGGGAAAGGTCAGTTTAGAGAAATGTAAACCTTAATAAGCTGCTCAGGTTGAACAGTTTGACTACCATGTCTTCRTTTAATATACAGGGTTGGTTTGGCACTTCAAAGCACCGTTCACTTATAGGTTTTGAAAGAGTAGCAACTCTACTATWCCAGAGCAAGGCACCAGTTGAGGTACTAACTCTATTGTATCCTGCATTATATCTCTTTATAAAGATTGTAAGGTCTCAGGGGGGAGGTTATGTATCCCCTGCACCCACCAGGCGTATCTGGTCATGTAACTAGTGGATATGACCGCTTGAGTGTCGTGACAAGGTGCTTAAAGGAGAAGATTGCATGTYGAATAAGGAAAGAAAAGCCAAGGAAGGAGRAAATTACAGAAGTGACGAGATTAATATAAATGCACTCTTTCAGCAMGATTGATTTTATCTTAAATCTTCAGGTAGTTGGTAAGTACTTGAATCTTGTTGATGACCCTTCAAAACGATTGACACTGGCCACCAAGTGTAAAAATCATGATGTTGTTATTGAGGTAAGAATGCTATGTGCACATTATAATTATTTTAAATTGCTCCATGAAATATTTGGAATGTAAATTCAATTTGCGCATGATCTCACGATCTTGAATTATTGTAGAGTGAATATGTACATGATTTTTCAGACTCTAGTTTTGATKAAAGACAGGCAGAAGTTGGACCAGTACAGACAGCAACTTCCTAATCATGCTCCACAACATCAAACAATCACAAACTACCTCAGGAATTYAGTAAGTGTTCCAAAAAATGTTTTAATGTTTCTTCTCTTCAAAGCCTCAAACTCAAACATAAAGTTTGAGAAGCTACTTTGTGTATGCGAAACGAAAAGCAATCAGTCGGGGTTAGAAAATGCAATTCCAGCTGCAAAATTCATCTTTTGCAAATTTGACCACATTTTGAATATTATAACAATTATTTTGATATGAGTTTTTCTTTCTTTCTTAGCAAATAAAGTGGAAGAATTAGAGATTTAATCCATTGCTCATATTTTGGAGTTTATATAATTTAGATTTTTTTAAACTTTTCTACTCATTTATGTGGCGCCTTTGAATCAAATATTGCCCCMAAAAAAATCTCAGGGGGGTTCATTGGATGCATCAGCACCTTATTCTCTCAACATACTCCACATGAGCCAGAGGGTCTAGTGGTGGTTTCCCTGATGGTTCACCCCCCTGGGAAAAATCCTGGATTCACCACTGAATATTGGATGCTATTCAATAGCAAATAAAATTATTGCTTGGATCTTTAGCATATTATAAAATGTTAAAATTGTGTATGGTTCTGTAAAAATTTTATATAATCTGTTTTCAGAGAGAAAAGTTGAAAAACTGTCAATAAAATAATTATTATGATGTAACTAGCTAGTTTACAAATCATAGGTTTTTTATTTTCTTAGACATTTTTTTCACAATTATTTTGATGAACATAGTATATAAAATAAATTAATGATATATTGATARCTATGTTGTTTGACACAGAAACTGGTCAGGTTTGTAGCAATGTCAAGGCTTACAGGCAATAATATTATAATAAAATGATAAAAAATTACTCTTACTAGTTCTATTTAATATATAATATTGGTTACATTGGTTTTCTCTGACTTTTTTTCCAGTTTATACACCAGAAAAATACTAATTTTTAAATTATTATAATTGTCTTTTTCTGTACAACATCCTAAATGMCTTTTTTATATTTATATTTCTTTTCATGTTTTCTTTTTTTATTTTATTAAAATCTCATAAAATTTCATAGCTTCTTAATAAAAAAACAAACAAATAAATAATAAAAGTAATAATTGATAAACTACTCAGTTTCCATTGATATAGYTGTATYTATTGATAGATTTTCTTGCATGCTATCTTTAGTTCCACATCCGTCTTCCTCTTTATCTTTAGATTTAAACAATTCTGGGTTTGTGGCCAYGACAAGGTCTGACTGTGGTCTTATAGATAGTTTCTTTCTGTGTTGTATTCTGAATCTGCGGCTTTTACATGATGGGCTGAGTCTCCCATCAGACACTGTGGATTCGCTAATTTTGTAAGAATATGCTACATTAGAATTGTGATTGCATTCCATGTACTTAATCAATGATTGAAGGATTATTATTTTTTCATTGGAAGTTTATCTGAATCATTGGCTATTTGCCTAAATTGTGCACTTGAGTCAATGGGCTTAAAATTAACTGAATCAAATAATGATCTTATTGGCCTATCTTATTGATCAATCGATTGATGGATGATTGCTGATTGATTGATTGATTGTCTTACCTCACGTCACTGGACACGGAGCTGGTTCTCTCTATAACTCTTGGAATGCTTTTTAAAAGAGTCTGTGTCTTGTAAAGTTTCTGCAATGCCTTCCTATATAATAATCATTAAAATTAAATATATTCAACTTATTTTGATAATTTCCTCCCTGTTAATAATTTAAATGTGATGATGTTAAAGAAGCATTGATATATGATTACTTTTACCTTAAATCATCGCAGTTTGAACCACAAGCATTTATTCCTTGGGTGTAGACATCTCTAATTAAAGATTCAAGGTTATGTTTCCATTAATTATTAATTATTTTTAATATATTTGAGATGCATGTAGCTATATGTAAAGCAGTGAGGGTAGTGTGCTATAGGTAAGGGTATACATTTCTTTCTTTCTTTTTATATGTAAAATAGTCCTGCTGTGGGGCTGTGTCAGATTGATCTGTCTCTAAACTCTCAAAATACCATACTTTGTTAGCTAGGGGAGGGGGAAGGGGAAGGGGAGAGGGGGGGGAGAGGCAATGGAAGGGGAGGCATGCAATTTGATACAGGTTGAGGGGGAGGGGAGGCAGGTTGAAGAGACATTATTTTTAATCGTATTCAAAATTGACAAGGAATGGTGCTCCTTTCTAAGGCTTAATGTAATCTTAGCTAATTCCTTGTACAAACGTGCAAAAATACTGGAGCTCCACAAAGCATACACTAGCTTTTGTACCATCTATAAAGCTTCCCTCTCCCCTAGGCTAAGCATACACTCACTGGCATTGCAAGCTTGTACCTATATAGCAAATTTATGAGAGTGCCCTCTAAACACAGAATTCAAATATTTACCAACCTTGCCTCATCCCATCTGTTCTGTAAAAGAAGTGCTGTGGCTTTAGATAGATATGCCTTGGGTAAAGTAGGATTTACCTTAATTGCCTGAAAGATGAGCATGCAATGATAATTAGCATGATTGCCCTAACCTCCCTCCCCTTTGAAGGATTTTTACCTCCTCAGCGTCTTTCAAAACAGCATCAAGGACACTGTTTATTCCTGTATTGCCAATTTGGTTTCTGAAATGACAATGATCACAAATAGACAAATTTTACTTTACAGCATATTTTCTATGCATTAGTCAATTGAAACCGGGAGTGCTGGAAGAATCAACACTTTGCAGCAAGTATTTAGACTGTTTTAACAGCATCAGTCCAAAGGGAAAAAGGGGTATGCAAAGGGGGTAGTTTCAGCGGTTCTAGGACCCCCTTTTTTCATTGAAATATGATATAATATTATAACTTAAAGTTAAAACATTTTTGGATAGTCCATAAGTTTGTTCGGTGTGAATCCAAAACAGTAATCTTGCAATTTTGCGGTTAATCACCTTTTTCACAGCATTGAAACCACCAAACAAAGCTGGAACACCCATCCCCTCCCCCTCCCCGCTCATGCCTACACACACCACTTTAAAGGCAACGAGGAAGGCGGAGGATTAACGTGTTAATCAAAGGAAATGATTGTTGTCTCCACCAGCCGGAAAATATTGTGACCAAAACMTTGTTGATATGTTACTTCACGAGCAATTTATACAGGGGATGTGGTTTCAATTCCTAATACATATTGTGTATTTTTGGAATGACCTTTGCTTTTTCTATGGATGACTATCGACTACAATAGACTTATTTGTGAAGACTTTATAACAGCATTATGTGGATTTATGTTGTTATTATAGTTTACGTACTTTAACATTTCGTTTTTAGTTTTTGCTCTTTATATAGAACAGATTTCCGCGCTGCGCGATGTTTAATGCTATTTATTCCCTCTTGTATATGTGTGTGTTTGTTTTTATATATATTTTTTCGCAATAACTCGATGTCGCTGATATTGATCGAAGTTCAAAAACGAAATTGACACATTGGCTAATTAATTAGCATAACGCACGCGATACGATCTTTTATATAACCGCAAGTACATAAATACAAAATACAAGAGATTGATGACGTCTTCCTTAAAATAAAATATATTGCAAATACGCGTAACCAAGGAATTTCAATGGAGATTAAGTGATTAATTGCCAATATTACTGCACAGATCGGTTCAATAATATGACCTCGCTTTTTGTATTCACAAATGTAATTAACTCGTCACAATGACCACAAAATGATCCATCTCTACCTCACATACCTTTCAGAAGAAGAGCAGTCTTTAATACTGCCATTGTTATTTCTATCCTGAGATTTGGTTTCTTCATTACAAGTCGTTAAACATTGCAACTCTCTGTCTGTTTCTAACTGCATGGCAGTCACATAAAGCCCTGTAGCTCCAGAAATGTCACCTTCGGTGAACAATTCCGTTCCGTCCTGTTTTAGGAATTGTATTCTCTGCGTGAAAGATATAAATGCGCTTTTCAAACAATGAACAGGAATCGACTAGAGTTACAATATACGAAATGCATGTACCTTGTCTTCGCGTCTTTCCATAATAGGCGGCGAATTAGTGTCRACAACTACAAGACTTTTTTACAGGAGGCTAARCAATAGMKAAAGGATGTGATCACCAACATTGAATAAAGTARTCGTTTCAAACCGCTTGATATATTGAATCACGACAAGTTAGTAAGTAATCACAAYGCTTGTTGTTGACGGGCCTTGTCATCCGGTTTGTCTACAATTTATGCTTCAGCTGTTTTTTCCAAGAGTGACTAAGGGGGTGTGGGATGGGGAGTGATTTGTGACGCGGAGGAAATATTGAAACTCTGCACTATCATGAGCGTCTGGATGATCTTCCAAAAAAGGTATTGACAGTCGAAGTATTTGAAAACAGTCCGTGTAGGGATATACATATGCGGGCACAAAAATATTAAATAACCTAAAAAAATAGTATTGAAAATAGTAATGACCGTGTTGACATTAGACAATTTATCCATCCCCACACTTGATGACTTGTGAAAAAATGAAGGTTATAGATCATTTTAAATATAAGGCATTTTTTTTCGAATATATAAAATGCTTTACATAAAAAAGGAACGAAGAAAAAACGAAAAACTTCCGATAGCCACAGGAAGCCCAATTTTGTTACCAGGACCCGCGGCGCGAACATCGCCCGCCATTTTTAGAAAAGTCAGATATAAGAAAAGTAAGTTATGGACTTGTTTGATGATTTGCCTCCCCCAGGTAAGTATATAAAAATTAAAAACTACTTCAMCTTTTCCTTCATACAAGCAAACGTGTTATGCAGTTTTCTTTCTTTATCGAAATGCGTTTAATAGTATGCAACGAAAAGATCGACCAAAATGGCGGACAGAAAGTAGGGTCTAAAAGACAGGGTGATGCAGTTGATTGTCGAGAAGAGTCGAAATCTAAACGTTCAAAAGGTATCTTTCAGATGGAAATATTTTCCTGTAGGCTATGATWAGAGACTTATTAATTTGTGATCTTTCATAGATGTCAAATACAAGCTAAGAGGATTTGTTGCCGAGAGAAAAGGAGAACGAGAGGATATGCAAGATGCACACGTGATTCTGGACGAATTTCTGTCCGAAGTCACTCCTGCACAAGTGTGAGTGCTTTGGTTTGTGCTGTGTGCGATTTTCTTTCGAGCTTTGATTTGCATATATGACCCATGACACATTTCGCTTCTGACAGTTGAATATATAAGCTTAAGTTAAATGCAATCATCATCATTGCCAATGTACAAGGATGAATAGGGTGGATTTACTAGTAGACTTCATACACTCCAAACATTTTGTATGAATTGTATTCACTGGATAAGTATTTATCCATTGGACAGTGCTTTTTACACTTTGTATTAAAAAATATTTAATTTAGATTTGATGACTCGTGTGAAATCATCAATAAAAAGGCCAACTCACAGACAGCAAGAATTGCATGATAGAGAAAAAGGCACTGGCCTGGTCATGGCACTGACATGTTCATGGCTCCACCATATCATTTGTGCAAAATCACATCCTTATCATCTTGTGATATTTTATAGGAGTTGCAATATGTCATACTATGCAGTGTTTGATGGCCATGTTGGACCCAGGGCATCTCAGTTTGCTGCCAAACACTTGCATGAAAACATCAAGAAAAAGATTGCAAAAGGTTGACTTTTTTTGGTAAATATGCACATAGTGCATTCATCAAATTATTGCCTAAATTCTGGTATCTGTAATTAACATTTCTTTGCATAATTAAAGTGCTGTTTTTTATCTTCAGTTGACTGCCATCAAAGTGACAAGGAAATAAAGAAGTGTCTTGTTGATGCCTACTCCTTGACTGATGAACAGTTTTTGATAGAAGCTTCAAAAGAGTAAGTTAACAGTTTGTACTCAAAGAAATCAATGCGGATATTGATACACGAGATTGTGATGTCCAAAATTTGAGACATGACAAGCTGCCCGTAATGCAACCAATAATACATATCAATGACATCTATAATGAAAGTTGAATAAATATGTAATGTCTGCTTAGAACACCAACCCTTAGAGATGGATCAACTGCTGTATCAGTGCTGGTCATTGATGACGTATTATATGCTGCTAACTTAGGCGATAGTAAGGTACTTTTAAACAATATTTACTCAAAAATCAGATTTACTTTAGTTTATCTACTTAAAGTCACATTATATCAGTAGATATCTGAGCATTATCCAAATGCTACCTGCTGCATTTTTGACTGAGCAGATTAAGGGCATGTGTATCGCAGCAAGATATAGAATAATAAAAAATATTTCAAATTAAAAAGACAGCAATAGGCAGAAATTATGATCTTTTTTGCTCATATTTCAAGTATATAAATATATCAGAAATTATGGGATATCATCACCAATATTTTTTCCGGAAGTACTAGTAGTGCTAGGCAATTCCAAAAAATGATCATAATTTCTGCATATTGCTGTTATATATAAAAATATGATGTCCTCCTTGTAGGCTCTTCTATGTAGATACAATCAAGAAGGCAAGACATCAGTTATACCACTCACAAAAGACCACTCTCCTTCCGAGGTAAATTTTAAGTAAAATTTTGGAGGAAAATGGGAATTCTATCCACAAGACACCTAAGATGAGAACCACAAGTATTGACGATGTGAAGTTACCTGTGATTTATGTATTACCTTTCTATTATAATTTGCAGTATAATGAAAGAATGAGAATACAAAAGGCAGGCGGCAGTGTGAAGTATGTAATCTTGTCATATTCAGGGTCTAATGATAAGGTCCATTGTGGATCAAAGGGAAAAAATGTCTTCAAGTCACCTTCAAGTTATCTTCTTAGCCATTTTTGTTTTGCTCTTCATGTGGTCCCACAGACTGCAGTTGTGTATTACTTCAGACATTCTGTTTATTGCATTTTAAGACAGTAGTTTTAATTGTTTTTCCTCTGTTTGTTAGAGATGGTCGTGTACAAGGGATACTGGAAGTTTCAAGGTCATTTGGTGATGGTCGGTTTAAACACTGTGGAGTTGTCTCAACACCAGATATCAAACGATGCACATTAACAGATAACGATAGGTAACATAAACATTGTACTATTCCGTACATTTAACAGATGTGCCCTTTTTGCCCATTCATACACACACACATTTAGTGGAAGTTTTCATTTATACATCATTCCATTGCAAAGTATGTTCTTGTACAATTTTATCATTGAATGCACTAGTTATGTAGTAAATATACTCTGTTTTTGTCCTCAGGTTTCTTGTTCTTGCTTGTGATGGACTATGGAAAGGATTTTCAGTGGATGCTGCAGTTAAATACATCAACAACATAATAAATGTAAGCTTTAATCAAGTCACTGGCACCATCCCTGAATTTGTCCATTAGCTTTCTTTCTATGAAACAGGAAACCCAACAGAGCAGTTTTCAGGGATGTGCCTTGTAGCAAGCTTATCTATATTAGCAGAAAGCAAGTGCAGATTGTTCTGGTTATTCCCATTTCTAACCTAATACATAAAGTGAAAGTCACCTACTATCTACATTAATACCAACAGTGTTCTTTTAATAATTGTGGCATATTTGTAATTTGCAGGATGAGTCAATTATATGCGAAAAGGAAATCGAAGAAAACAAAGGTTAGAAAAAAAGCAGTTAATCGACAACCTTTAGTTGTTATATTTTGATTTAGTTGTGCATACAGTAGTGATAGATATTCAACATAAAACAATTAATTATTACCACAAGTAATACTACTACTTTTACAAGTAAATAAAAAAAAACCCTGATGATTTCTTTTAAAAACTAAACCTTCATACTCGTAGGCATGATAAAAGACAGTGCAGAAATGGACCCAGTGTTATATCGCTTCCAGACAGCCTGCAATCGTATTGCCAGTGACGCGATCAGAAATGGCAGCTCAGATAATGTCACAGTTATGATAGTATCAATAACTTCATAAAACAAATTCTTGTTTAAAACAAAGCCTTTATTTATCTTTTTGTTCTCTGCACTTCTTTCTTTTCATAAAACAAGTACAGCCAACAAAAAGTACAAATACAAAATACAGTATTCCTGTGTAAAAAAAAATATTTTTTCCATCTACAACCAATGTTGCCGTAACAACCACTTCATTGCAGTGAGTAGGATTAATTCCTGAGGCTGCAAGGTGAAGCAAAATAAACTACACGTATCCCTTACTACCATGCAGTTAACTTCACAAGTGTCAAAATTTCTTAAATTTTACTTATCATAAAATAAAAATATCAATTTTAAATAAATATATCATTATTACGTTATTTCTTGTAAATGGTATGATCTTTTGTTCCTTCAAATACTGCTCATTTCTAGAACACACTAAAGATAGCTCCAACGTTCTAGGAGCATTATATTTTTCATCAAACATTCTCCTCATGTCTTTCTAAGAAGTGATTGCTGTAACTGGTTATTCTATTTGTAGGAATAAGGCTTTAAATGAAGCTCTCAAAGGCACTCATGCACCCAATAACAACCCTTTCTTTTGATTTACAAATGATCTCTTGTCTAGTCTTGTCTCTAGTCTTGCTTTTTGGATTGGCTCAAAATCGAGATGGTGAATTTTGTGTGAGCAAATCTTTGAAAGGTTCTTGCACAGGAGCCTTAAACTTTGATGTTCTTTATAAACTTGAGGTGCAAATCTTCCACTAAATAAACTTCATTAACAATGGCTGTCTACAATAATTTATTGAGATATATGCAACATCAGGGTAAAATATTCCAAGTGTGTTACTGAATCTCTTTGAGTATGGTTTTCCATAGTTTCTTCATTTCACAAAGTCTTTGTTTTGAGAAGTATGCATATATCGACTCCTTGAAAATGGTGTAAACTTATCTGGCACTGTCACATGTACAAGCAGTATTCACCACAAGTCCTCTTTGAATGAATTGCATTTCACAAATAATGAAACCAACTTAAGCTTTGTAAGAGAAAACTTCCCCATAGAAAGACCTGTAAGCAATAAATAAACTATAACCTACCTAGTGCAGATAAAATGCTAAAAATCATGAGGCTGAAGTCTATAAATTGAGGAAAGACTAAGACTTCCTATTTGCAGGGACGTCAACTCTCACGGATTTGCTGGGAGACACCCGATTTCAGATCGAAACTCCCGGTCTCAAGATTTTAGCCCTAAATCTCCCGGTTAGCACAATATTTTCATAGAATGAAATTAATTACTATTGTTGTAGATTTTCATTTTCGAAGAAATAAACCTTCAATGAATAATTTCGTGTATCTTCGAAACTTTTTTTCAACGAAATGCCTACAGGCGTTGCTTACGTATGAGCGTGCATGAAAAATATAGAATTTCATTGGTTAAACCTGGATATGACGTCATTCTTATCCTGTGATGTCATGCACCTAATTGTGGCAATTTCTCCAGATTTATAAAGTTTGGGGGTTGACATCCCTGAATTAGTTTTCAATCTTGGATTAACTTACATTTAACAATATTTGCCAAGCACTTGCTCCAAAGCAGTCTGAATGTTTGGGAGTAAAGGCATGCCAGTCTTGACTTGCATTTTTAAAACAACTGAAATATAATATGATGAAAATTCAGTATGCCTTCTTGAAGGTCTATATGAAAAGTATGATTAGAACTAAATACATCAATACATGAATAAATAAACTTTAAATAGTCTCCTTCACGGTTCCATGCGCCATCTTGAAAGGTAGCCATGCCTTTGCATCGAACCTTTCACACCTACAGACAATTATTCACAGGTATCTATCATTGCACGCTTGCACAGTTGTCTAGCTGCAATGCAAAGGCACGGATAACATTCAAGGCAACACAGGTTACCGTGAAGGAGACTATTATCTTTTATTGTGGACATTATTGAGCATTCATACTTACCTGTTAACTTTAAATGACTGGCACCATGTGAAAAAACCTACAGCTGAAACTATTGCAGCCAAAAACGTCCACAACAATGAAGCTCTCAATATCAGGAAATTGCTTGATTGATTGAAAAATGACATACTTCTGAAATCACATGCAGTAGTACAAATGTTAATATAATGTTAAACTACTTGTGGAAACCATAAAAGCTTATTTTGTGTAATAGTCGAGTTCAACGGATGCACATGGACTTACATAACAAGAACCGGTAATTTATATAATTTCACAATCGTGACTTAATCATTGATTTATGCATAAAGACACGACATAATACTTACACATTTTTGAATTTACGAAATTCTCCTAATAAAACAACTAAGCCAGTTCCAAATGACACGAAACAGCCCGACATGATGAACATGCACCATATCATTGAACCGCTAGTGAAAATTCTTTCAACTTCTTGGATATGACCGAAAAATACACATTGCTTACAAGTTCTTAATACGTATATATTCATCACCACTAGTCCTGCCAAGGCTAATATGCTATTTATGGTCCATAACGTTACTTTTGGGACAGTTGCTTTCATCTTCATCTATATATTTACAGTTTTTATGGACACGCAAGTTTTTGACCAGCGGCAGTCTTACACAGGGTACCCAACCTGACGATTGTGCTGTCGGAGAGCAATGTGTCCGCCATCTTTTATGTTGTTCCTTAGAACACACTTTGTAGTTACATTCATTATAAATTATATAAGTTATAATTTAGTGATTCGAGGCCGGGAATTTTGATATTTGGAAAGTTTGCAAAATTATTTGTTAGTACTATTAAAAAAAAGTTCGCAATTTCCACGATTATGTATAATATTACAACTACTAATTAATCAACCTCGTTCCCAGGGCTACTCTGCGCCCAGAGATAGAGATTTTGAAAAAAGCGAGCAGAGTAGCCCTGGGAACGAGGTTGCTAATTAATTCCTAATCTCTCGACACCAGTTCTTCTCGGTCAAGACCAAGAAGAGAAAAATGTCCGTTTCCGATGGAGCCTGCGAAGGAGGCTATAACGTCCATGTTTTTTGCCAGTGTCTTAATAATTTCATAACTAGTAAAAAAAAGTTCGCAGATCTATCAAATTCACCAATTTGCGAATTATTTTGTCAGTTTCGATAATATCGTAACTAGTAAAAAAAAGTTCGCAAATCTAAGTTTTTTGTTAGTTTCCGATGATTTCATCAAGTCCAACTTTTCAAAATGGCGGCCGCATTGTTCTCCGAAAGTACTGATGCACGTATAGTGTCCAATCTCTTACCCCAAGCCTTCGTTTTCTTGACCAAGAAAAACGAAGCCTCGAGGTACGAGATTGGATACTAAGTAGTGTCTGACAACATTTAAAGCAAGATTTCATTAATGCGTTAATATTTGCTGTGGAGTTACAATAAAAGTTTAAGATCATCGGGGGATGAGAGTACACGTGCATTTCGCATTCGATTTCAAGTTCACTTTCTAGTTACCTTTCTAGGAACTGTTGAGGAAGCTCACAAAAATCCAAAGTGGGATGTTCAGGTATTTTGCATAACAGTTTTAAGCCATGGATACCATGACACAGTCTCTGAATATCACTACAATGCTTCCTAGTAGAGCTCCACGATCATCTGACATAGCATTTACGTCGAGTGTTATTCTTACGGTGTTAACGGGTTCGCTGTTCGTTTCAGCATGTGTTGTGCTTAATGGCTACTACTGGAAACGCGTTGGACGTGCATTGGTTGAAACAAGAATCGGAATTGTGGTCTTCTTTTTGGGTGCGTTACTGTCCACTATCACAACACTCGGTTGCTATAAGGACATTGAGATCTATGGAATCTACTCGCTATTTACTACTCCCACAGACAATGAATTTGTGATGAAACTTTTTGGAAAAGGATTTTTTATTGTTAAGGCAGCCTACAATGCCTTGATAATTGACTACCGCCTTCTCTGCTGTTTGCTGTTCTTAGAACATGCCCTGGAACTTGAAGATACACGGCACAGCCACATTGAAATCCAATATGACCCACTTGATGAACCACAACATGGTGATCGTTTCCNTTTGGACGGCCATAAAAGATGCTGCAAGATCAATTGGAATGCTCTTCCAGATGTACTTTTTTATGAAGATGGGCCCCAATTATTGCACACAAGCAAGAAACATCAGTCGGAAGATCCATCATCTTCTTGTACCTGCCATGATGCTTACCCTTCTGTCCATCTTTTTGGGCTGTGTCATTGACCAGTATAATGGCAAAGTTGAGCACCTTATTAAGAATTCCAACATAGATCCCGCTTTGTTGGGTTTCTTTGAGGGCGCAGCACCCATCCATCTTGGCTTCACCCTTCACATGTTCCTTCACTTTTACATTATGAAAAGAAAGATGACTACCAATCAACAACAACAGAATGTTAGTATTTTGCCTGTTGCTGATCACAGCACTGATGGCTGTGATGATGGAGAAAGACGAGAACAGCCACTTCCTTCTTCAAGTGAAGATCAGAGTTTTGCAAGTTCAGCATAACTTAAGGCCATTTAATGACATGGTTTGTTATGTGCAACTTGTTTAAGTATACTTTTATCCTATGATCAGGATTTTGAGCCATGGTGCATTGATTTGGACTCGTTTGAGTCATTTACTACAAGCTGCATGTGATAATCGTACCTCAGACTTTACCGTAAATCAGACTTTACCATTCTTAAACAGTTGAGACTTTGATATCTTTAGTGAGTGTCACACCTTTATTGTTTATTATAAAATGCAAACATTGATCAGGGTTTCTCAAGAAAAAGAGACAGCCTTTTTATTAGATAAGCAAATGTGTCGATCTATAATATATTTTTAGCATGTCTTGATATTAGCCTCTTCTACTTTATCCATGTTGTTATGTTTATTTATGGGGGAAATTTATTGTGAGTTTGTTTTATGGCATTCGCGTCATAATTGAGGATTCTTTCACTATTTCAAAGGGGGGGTGAGTAAAATAACTAAATTTCTGAGGGGGTTAATGTGTCGGCACCTTTGATCTTTATTTTTATCAATATTCTTTATTATCTTACACCAGAAACATATAAGGGACTTGTACACTCGTTACTTAATCATTGACTTATGCAAAACAAAAAACAAAACAAAAACACGAAAATTGAATACTTACACATATTTGTATTTACGAAATTCACGTGTTTCCTTTAGAGCGCGACCAAATTTAAAAGCGAATCCGAAAAATTATTAAAAAAAAAACATTTTTGTAACGTCACACTTGAGTACTCCATGAATAGGTAATACAAATTTTGCATTCCATTTCAAGTTCACCTTCCGGTGATCTTTCTAGGAACTGTTGAGGAAGCTCACAAAAATCCAGAAGTGGGATGATGTTCATAGGTATTTTAAATAACAGTTTTAAGCCATGGATACCACGACACAGTCTCTGAATATCACTACAACGCTTCCTAGTAGAGCTCCACCATCATCTGACATAGCATTTGCGTCGAGTGTTATTCTTACGGTGTTATCGGGTTCGCTCTTCGTTTCAGCATGTGTTGTTCTTAATGGCTACTGCTGGAAACGCGTTGGACGTGCATTGGTTGAAACAAGAATCGGAATTGTGGTCTTCTTTTTGGGTGCGTTACTGTCCACTATCACAACACTCGGTTGCTATAAGGACATTGAGATCTATGGAATCTACTCGCTATTTATAGAAGCACTAGTCGGCATAATTACCATGGTATGTGGTGTTGTTGTACTGTTTGAAGGACAAAGCCCAGAAAGAGAGATGGATGACTATGCCCAACCTTTAATCCCGATTGGTCATACTCATGGTAGCATTGGTGTAGTAATTTGGGTTATTACCCTACCATTGTGTACACTGGAATTGTTTTTTGCAATTGGAGCAGCAACTAAATCACCTGCGCCAATCTATGCAGCCATTGAGTTTGTGTCTTTAACTCAAAAGCTTGTCCAAGCATCTGTGTATCACTTCAGTCTTCGCCACAGGGTTCCCAAGCCAATGATGCGCATGGGTTGTTCGTGGTTTTTGAAAACAATATCTCTATTTAACTTCGCATTCTGGATTGACTCAATTATTACTACTCCCACAGACAATGAATTTGTGATGAAACTTTTTGGAAAAGGTTTTTTTATTGTTAAGGCAGCCTACAATGCCTTGATAATTGACTACCGCCTTCTCTGCTGTTTGCTGTTCTTAGAACATGCCCTGGAACTTGAAGATACACGGCACAGCCACATTGAAATCAATGACCCACTGGATGAATCACAACATGGTGATCGTTTCCAGGCCAGTACATCGGTCAACGTTGAAGTGGCTCACTATTCCGGTTATGGCTACATCATTGGTGTGACTTGTGTTGGTCTTCAGCTGGTAAATGGTCTACAGTACCTGGACTTTGTTGNTTTGGACGGCCATAAAAGATGCTGCAAGATCAATTGGAATGCTCTTCCAGATGTACTTTTTTATGAAGATGGGCCCCAATTATTGCACACAAGCAAGAAACATCAGTCGGAAGATCCATCATCTTCTTGTACCTGCCATGATGCTTACCCTTCTGTCCATCTTTTTGGGCTGTGTCATTGACCAGTATAATGGCAAAGTTGAGCACCTTATCAAGAATTCCAACATAGATCCTGCTTTGTTGGGTTTCTTTGAGGGCGCAGCACCCATCCATCTTGGCTTCACCCTTCACATGTTCCTTCACTTTTACATTATGAAAAGAAAGATGACTACCAATCAACAACAACAGAATGTTAGTATTTTGCCTGTTGCTGATCACATCACTGATGGCTATGATGATGGAGAAAGACGAAAAGAACAGCCACTTCCTTCTTCAAGTGAAGATCAGAGTTTTGCAAGTTCAGCATAACTTAAGGCCAATTAATGACATGGTTTGTTATGTGCGACTTGTTTAAGTATACTTTTATCCTATGATCAGGATACAAGCTGGATGCGACAATCGTACCTTGTAACAGTGGAAAAAATCACGTGCCATAAAGGTTGTAAATTTGATGGAAATATGATGTAAGTGTCCAAAATGATGTAAATTTGATGGAAATGATTTACATTTTGGACACATCATATATACATCAAATTTACAACTGCGCACATTTTTTTCCAGTGTAAATCAGCCTTTACCATCCTTAAACAGTTGAGACTTTGATAGCTTTAGTGAGTGTCACACCTTTATTGTTATATAAAATGTAAACATTGATAGCATTTCTCAAGAAAAAGACATAGCCTTTTTATTAGATAAGCAAATATATAAGTCAATCTATAACATATTTTTTAGCATGTCTTGAGTATTAGCCTCTTCTATTTTATCTGCATGTTATTATTGCATAAATATTTTTTTGTTCTTTGACAAGTCAGACTTGACAAAGTAAACTTGTAGTACATGACACCAACGTTCTAAGAGTATGTACACTCTTATTTTTACTTCATAGACTTGTAGTAATCATAACTTTGCCAAAGAAAACTTCCCCATAAGACAGCCTATAGAAACAATATTTTAAAATGTATGTTTTTTTGGATAATCAACTTTCAAATATCAAATGTTGGGAGCATTGTGTCTTTGCAGCAATATTGAAATGTGAACTACTGGTATATCAACATAATTAAAAGACTAGAGCACATTCAGGAAGTTCTCAGGTGTTGTCTTACAATTATTTGGAGTTGGTAGTATCTTGCATGAAAACAGTCAGAGTGCTTTGGAGTAAATGCAAACCAATCCATGTAGATATTGAAAGCACAGCTAAAAAAACATTAACAGAAAGTATTTCAGATTCATATATACTTCATACAAATACTAGGGGATGCTTTAAAACTAACACAGATATCCTGAAATGAGGAAAAGGGAGATCAATAAACAATATAGAACTTAGTGAAAACGTTGTCATAAAAAATAGGACATTTGTATTTAGTAAAAAGGAATAAATTAAAACAAGACAAAAGAAGATCACTGAGGCTGAATGCTCTCTTTTGTCTTGTTTTAATTTATCCCTTTTTACTAAATTCAAATGTTCTATATTTTCTATGACAACGTTTCTGCAAGAAGATGTAGCATTAACAACAAAGAATATATACAGACCTATTGACTTTAAATGACTTGCACCAAACCACATATCCCATAGTAGCAACCATTGCAGCTGACATTGTCCACAACAATGAGACTTTCAATATGAAAAGAACTCGGCAGTTGCTTAATTTAAATCTAGTATTTCTGCATAAATTAAAGCAAACAATTTTCATTCAAAGACATAAATATTTTCAAAGTGTTAGTTACTTTGCACCAGCTAGCAATAAATCATAGAATATAGACAGATATTATTACCATTTATTATTTATTACTTAGTATTTACTAAATTTAAGTAACTTACGGAGGTACGTTACAAAATACCAAAAAAACTCGCTAAATAGTCGTCCAAATGACCTGAAACTTCACACAAAGAGCAAGGACAATAAAAGAGACAACGTAGGATGTTTTTTTAATTTTTTTTTTACATTTTCATCAAATTCAGCTAAAAGCCGCCTATATTGTAGAGCTTGGGCTACCTGTGGTGCGACATAATAATTGAGCATTCTTTCACTATTTCAAAGGTTTCTTTTTGTCTTTTCAAAATAAGATAATCATATGAATACTTACACATTTCTGTATTTCTGATATACTCCTAATAAAGCAACAATACCAGTAGCAAATGACACGAAACAACTCGACACGATAAACATGCACCAAGCCGTTGAACCGCCGGTGAAAGTTCTTTGAAAATCGTCAATATTACCGAAAAATACACATTGCTTACAAGTTCCTAATATATATGTATTCGTTGCATAGGCTACTTGACAAGACAATATACAATTTATGGTCCATAATATGACTTTTAGAGCGACTGGGTTCAAAAGAATAATAGCTTTCATTTTGACAATCTCGTACCCAGGATATACGCACTTTAACCACAGGTAGCCCAAGCACTGGACTTGACAGTGAAAAACGAAAAGTTCAATAAAATGTTAAAACTGATTATTTCAAACTACAACATAGTGTTCTTCTTATTTTTCTCAACACCCCTGAGAAGTTTCAGCTCATTATGGTAAACTTTCCCCTACTTATATATATTATGATAATTTTGTTGTTGTTGTTGTTGAACTTTTCGTTTTTCACTGCCAAGTCCAGTGCTTGNTCCAAGGTAACGCATCAGATCATTGGACGTCGTCATGGCAGACTCCCCTTGCAACAACATATATTTTTATACAGCAGCAGTGCAAACGAAATAATTGGACCATCTTCTTATGGCCTTGATATCCAACTACCGACGAATAAGTCGTACGTTCAATACATGTTAGAGCGATTTGAGTTGTTTGGAGATCGATCAGCCATTGTAAGTACTGGAGCTAAATATACTGAACATAGTAATTCCACGCATCGATTCATTGCGTTACTTAAGATGCAGTTGTTTGACCCAGTTGTTTGATCTTTAGTTATTTTAATAGATATACATGTCTGCTTGTAGAGCGGTGTACTTTGTGTCACGTATATGTGGCAAAAGTCGGGCTTGATTTGATTATAGGTCAAGAGTTCATTCTGTTCTTTCAGAGTGATGGTCCAACAGGAAGATCATATACGTATAAAGAAGTGAGTCAGCTGACTAAAAAAGCTGGTTCTGCCTTAAAACGACTTGGAGTAGGTAGTGATGACGTCATTGCTCTGCACCTTCCCAATATTCCTGAATATGTACCCATATTTTATGGAATACAAGCCGCTGGTAATATTATATCAACCATTAACTCGGCACTTCTAGCAGATGAGATTGCATACCAGTTACAAGACTGTGGTGCTAAATATGTTATATCAACAAGTCCCATCATGGCTGCAGCAAAGGAAGCAGCCACAAAGGCCAACATTTCATCACAGAATGTCCTTGATTTTGAATACCTGTGGGATCTTATTGTAAAAGATGATGGCTCACATCTACCTGAGGTATACATGACAGATAACCCTGATGAGCATGTATTTTGCCTCCCATACTCTAGTGGAACTACTGGTCGCCCGAAGGGAGTTATGTTAACTGATACTAATTTTATTGCTCACGCTATGGTATTTGGAAATGAGAGATTCATGTCTAAAAGGGAAGACATTGAACAAGAATCTGTATTAGGACTGCTTCCATTCTTCCATGCCTATGGTCTTGCCTACATCATTGGCACATGTCTTCACCTTGGATCAAAAGTTGTTTGCATGCAGAAGTTTGAACCAGAGATGTTCTTAAAAATAATTGAAAGAGAAAAGGTAAATTGAAAAAAAGATGGTTAATGTTTTAAAGGCCCAGTGTGCACCATTATGCTTTGGGGGCTGCAAGGACTGGGAGACACCCATTTTCAGTTTATCGAAAAGTCTATAAATTGTACTGTGTGTTTCAAATCCTTGACCTCACTTTTCTAAGCACTTTAAATGCTAATATAAGAGTTGTCAACCATCTGAAATTCATTTTATGGTGATATTGGGATACTAGAAGTATTTTGGTGTAAATCATAAACAATAACAGAGGCGCGCAAAGCATAATGGTGCAAACTGGGCCTTTAAATAAAGTGTCGTCAATAAAAGAGAATTCTTGTTTATTTATTCAACAGCGTCTTTACCCTCGATCGTTATCTTATTTTGTAGCTGACAGAACTTCCTATTGTCCCACCCCTTGCTCTATTTCTTGCAAAAGACCCAATGGTGGACAACTATGATTTAACAGCAGTTGAGAAAATCCTATCTGCTGCTGCGCCATTGGCTAAAGAAGTGGAGGAATTGCTTTGGAAGAAGCTTCCTACTGCCAGAGTAATTAGGCAAGGTGAGAGATGCCACAGGCTCCTTCCATTGCATAAATATATCAAATGAAGAAATATTTGAGCGATGAATGAATGGTTGCATGAATGAATTTGTGTTTGAATAGTTTATTTTGTGGATCTGCAGACATACAAGGTGTATGCAAATAACCTCTTCTGAAAAAAGCAACAATGATGTATATTGTAGTAGTAATTTCATGCCTTTTCATTACTGTTTTTGTAGGCTGGGGAATGACAGAAACAACAGCAGGATGTATTATAAATCCATCAGAAAAATCCCTTGTCAAAAGTGGATCTGTTGGTGTTTTGCTTCCTCTAATAGAAGGAAAGGTAAATAAATGTTTACATCAGTTCTTAAAGCTGAACTACATTGCACATGGCAAATTCAGGGCAAGTTTCTCTAAACTTTCTGCTCACTATCATCTCACTTAAACGTTTTATCAATTTTTATTAGTGAGATTGAAGCTACAAGTTTTTTTGATTAATTCATTCTGTGACAGGTAATTGATTTAGAGACTGGTGAATCTGTTGGTCCAAATATAGATGGAGAAATTTGTGTCAAAGGACCAACTGTCGCAAAAGGTTTGATATGCTGTGTGCTTGCTGTTAAGCATGTATATCATCAATAACTATATAAAGTTTCCATTATTTTATATAATAATCATTATGATAACTATGTTTAATGATATGTTGTCAGGATACTTGAACAATCCAGAGGCAACGGCAGAAACTATTAACAAAGATGGCTGGCTCCATACTGGTGATATTGGTCATTATGATGAAGATAAGTATTTCTACATTGTGGACAGAAAAAAGGAACTCATCAAGTACAAAGGATTTCAGGTAACAACAACAGCAATACCAGATTATTAACCCTCCTCATTAATTTAAGGGTAGAGAATGGTACAAAATATGTGATGTCAGTCAATCTCTATTTGGTGGTTTATACTGACTATAAAATTGCATTTTAAGGTGGCACCTGCTGACTTGGAGGCAGTTTTAGTGAGTAATCCAAGCATAGCTGATGCTGCCGTCATAGGAATACCCGATGACAAAGGGGGTGAGGTCCCCAAAGCTTTTGTGGTCCCAAGAGGAGAAATTACAGAAGAACAGATCAAAGATTATGTCGCCAGCAAAGTTTCACCTCATAAAAGATTGAGAGGTGGTGTTACTTTTGTTGACATGATTCCAAAAACTGCAAGTGGAAAAATATTGAGGAGAATGATTCGCAATCAAATCAGTGACAAGAAATTAGCATAAACTGTGTCACTGGACAAAGCTTACACAAATCTGTATGGCGTCTTGATTGAAAACAAATTATCTTTAAATAATCATATTTTACTGATTTACTAGGTATTTTTGATGGAAACTAGTGCAAACTAGTATAAGCTACGTCGCCGTTTTTTCTAAAGAAAAATTCGAACCTTTTATAAAATGACTCAGTAATTTTCGATATTAAAAGAAAGGTGGGGCAACACGTGGTCGCGTTACAAGTCCTCACCATAACACGGCGTCCAGTCTTCCATATTTTCCCCAGGTCTATGATCACTTTGGGTTTCTTCTTATGGAAGCGGACACTGTAATATTGAAAAAAATATCCGACTTGGTGACAAAAGTAGGACAGGTCAATTCTTAGTTTGTACGCGTAAAAAATATATACTAGTATACTAGCAAAAATGAGGTTTGTACTTCATACACATATTCCTTAATTGCTTTTTGTTTTTGTTATTTCTTTTTTGCGTGTCTTCTCAGTGTCGTTGCGTTACCTCCTGGTGATGACAGGAGGTCAAAACAATTTCGATTTATGATATTCAATAGACTCGTAGTGTGGCGTGGTGAGTCTTCAGGGATAATTTCAGCTATTAATTTTGATTCACGGCTTTGTTTCGCAAGATTAATAGCATTGCTCCACTCAATTAAGATGATTACAAGGGCAGCAACTCAAAGACCGCTACTCTTCATACGAAAACTAATTGGCGCACTTCCAAAGCGAACGAGTCCGATCACAGGACTGCTCTTGCAGAAGCAAGCATTTTTATCCAGTAGCAGTACACACGGTATAATTGGACCATCTTCTTATGGTCTTGATATCCAACTACCGACGAATAAGTCGTACGTCCAATACATGTTAGAGCGATTTGAGTTGTTTGGAGATCGATCAGCCATTGTAAGTATTAAATTGTAAACAAACTATATTTGCTAAACGAACCGATTTGTACACGGCATATTACATCTATGAAACATATCTCTATTCTCTTCAGTTATTCCTTCGCATTGGGATGTGTTATTGGCACCAAACATCCATGTTTTGTTGCTTCCTCTAAACTATTTTTATTACTTTTCACTTTCGAAGTATAAACACCTCCTACTATTTATAAAGCATGTATCAAATGACGCATTCATACTGGTTCAAATTGCACATGTTTCGTTGCTGAGAGCGAAAGTCCACAGACAAAGTACCTTTTTTCTTTGGCGCTGTAAGTCATCGTGATCATTTTCGTGAGATTTGGTTGACTTGAGTTGTAACTGGCTATAAGGTTCGTGCTGGGTCAAAGAGATATTGTTCATGATCGTTACATAACGTGAGATCCATGAGCGTGACCCATTTTCAAACTTTCGGGTGGAAACAGCAGAACCGTCAGTGTTGCATGTTTCAGAGGCGGATCCAGCATTTCAGAAAGGTCGTGAAGTTCTGTATCCTTCGACCACAGGGAGACTGCATCGCTCCCATCAAATGTTTTGAATTTAGATCCTGATAAATGGGATTTCCAGCATTATGAGGGATTTTGACAACAATTTTTTGAAAGGATACCTCTGTAAAGTGGCTCTTGGAATTGCGCTCAGATTGTTTCCTTTTGACATAACTGGCATTCCTAATTATAAGCCAGCCTTCTATAGGGGTTAGGTGGGGAGGGGGCTGATACAGCACCAATACACAGCATGCCTTGATATTTCCTGGCGCATTATTAGTTGGGTACCTATTGATATGGCCTTGATTTGGTAACAAGAGTTCATTCTGTTCTTTCAGAGTGATGGTCCAACAGGCAGATCATATACATATAAAGAAGTGAGTCAGCTGACTAAAAAAGCTGGTTCTGCCTTAAAACGACTTGGAGTAGGTAGTGATGACGTCATTGCTCTGCACCTTCCCAATATTCCTGAATATGTACCCATATTTTATGGAATACAAGCCGCTGGTAATATTATATCAACCATTAACTCGGCANAGAGATCCTATATGACTTGTAAAACTTTAACCATTTTTCGAGATCATTGTCGTGTAGGAAAACAATATCACAATCATCTAGTATATAAGTTGTCTAATTTACGTTCAAGATATTTAACATACTGTACAGGGTATAGCCCTCTTGCATTATTCATGACACACTTCTTTCAGAGTGATGGTCCAACAGGAAGATCATATACATTCAAAGAAGTGAGTCAGCTGACTAAAAAAGCTGGTTCTGCCTTAAAACGACTTGGAGTAGGCAGTGATGAAGTCATTGCTCTGCACCTTCCCAATATTCCTGAATATGTGCCCATATTTTATGGAATCCAAGCCACTGGTAATATTATATCAACCATCAACTCGGCACTTCTAGCAGATGAGATTGCATACCAGTTACAAGACTGTGGTGCTAAATATGTTGTATCAACAAGTCCCATCATGGCTGCAGCAAAGGAAGCAGCCACAAAGGCCAACCTTCCATCACAGAATGTCCTTGACATTGAATACCTGTGGGATCTTATTGTAAAGGATGATGGCTCACATCTACCTGAGGTATACACGACAGATAATCCTGATGAGCACGTAATTTGTCTCCCATACTCCAGTGGAACTACTGGTCGTCCGAAGGGAGTAATGTTAACTGATACTAATTATGTTGCTCATACTCTGATAATTGGGAATGAGAAATTCATGTCTTTAAGAGAAGACATTGAACAAGAATCTGTATTGGGGCTGCTTCCTTTCTTCCATGCCTATGGCCTTGCCTACATCATTGGTATGTTTCTTCACCTTGGATCAAAAGTTGTTTGTATGCAGAAGTTTGAACCAGAGATGTTCTTAAAAATAATTGAAAGAGAAAAGGTAATAATGAACACAATTGCAGAACTATTAGGGGCGTGTACAGGGGGCATGTGCAGTTGAAACAGAGATATTCTTAGTAATAACTGAAAGAGGGAGATGCAAGTTAAAGTAAGCATGCTTTTCTGGCAATAAAAGCAAACAGGCGGTGTTTATACAATGACAATTTTCGTAAGTAACTTTATATACAGATGTGATTTTTCGGTCGTCATTTTAATGATACGGGGTCTCAAGTCCGCGCAATTAGTTGATAAACCAAAACTCAATTGTTCGTCGTTGATTAACGACCACAAACGACATATTTTTGTTGACAATCCATATTTATACTTATTGAACTTTTCCCCATTATTTAATCATTTTGTAGCTCACAACACTTCCCATTGTCCCACCCCTTGCTCTTTTTCTTGCAAAAGACCCAATGGTGGACAACTATGATTTGACAGCAGTTGAGAGAATCATATGTGGTGCTGCGCCACTGGCTAAAGATGTGGAAGAATTGCTTTGGAAGAAGTTTCCTAATATCAGAGAAATTAGGCAAGGTAGGAGATGCAGTATAAAAACATTAACCACACGAACCTATCAGTTTGTCATCATTTTTAATGCTTTCATTGGAGGAGTCTTGAAAGTAGTCCAGTAGAGTGCATGCCACATAAGTGTGACACAATTCTTAACTAACTAGCACCTAATAAGATTTAGTTCTAAACTAAGAATTCAGTGAGGTATAAACAAAGAAATCTTGTTAGTTGTTGATAGTTAAGAATTGTTTGACGCTTTTTTGGTGTGCTCTCTAAAGTTGAGAATTTTGATCTGCAAAAACACTGAATGGTTGCTGTTGTCAGACTTGAGGAGTTCACATCATGTTCATAAGATTAATTTTAGTGAAATCTTTCATTTGTATCTGTTATTTCATACACTTTGCGTAGGTTTTGAAATGGCAGAAACAGCAACGGTATGTCTGTCTGTCACATACTGTAGTAGTCTTGTCATGTCTGTTCATTACTGTTTTTGTAGGCTGGGGAATGACCGAAACAACAGCAGGATGTATTATAAATCCATCAGAAAAATCCCATGTCAAAAGTGGATCTGTTGGTGTCTTGCTTCCTCTAATGGAAGGAAAGGTAAAGCGTTTATGCCATTTCTTTAAAGTAGTACTACATCTCACATGGCATGCTACGTGTCAATTCAGTGCAAGTTGCTCTAAACTTTTCATCTCACTTAAACGTTTTATCACTTTTTATTAATGAGAATTAAAGCTACATCTCGTTTCATTCTGTAACAGGTAATTGATTTAGAGACTGGCGAATCTGTTGGCCCAAATATAGATGGAGAAATTTGTGTCAAAGGACCCATTGTCGCAAAAGGTTTGATATGCTGTTTTTTAGTATTTGTATCATAAATAACTAGGTAAGAGTGTTAAATGATATGTTTTCAGGATACTTGAACAATCCAAAGGCAACAGTAGAGACTATTGACAAAGATGGCTGGCTCCATACTGGTGATATTGGTCATTATGATGAAGATCAGTATTTCTACATTGTGGACAGAAAAAAGGAACTCATCAAGTACAAAGGATTCCAGGTAACAACAACGACAATACCAGTAGATTAATATGAAAGTTTTCCATTTTTTTAGGAACATATGAAACAGTTAATGAATCGATTAATCATTTTATAATAACGAAAAACAGTGGTAAGAAATAATGAAAAATGTGCATCTCTGCAGTCAGTTTTCAAGGGCGTATTTAGTGGAAGGTCAATGACGAGGTCCCCTTCAAAGGAAAATCGATTGTTGATGCAGCGAAGATTCGTGTATACTTGCCCGCTACTAGTCCACGATTCTTGGAGTCGTCGTATTGGAAATTTTGTGTTTGTGTATCTGTGACTTGATCCCAACTTCTCTCCTGACATCAGTGAGAGAATTAACTAACACTTTTATTTCCAGGTGGCACCTGCTGACTTGGAGGCAATTTTAGTGAGTAATCCAAGCATAGCTGATGCTGCAGTCATAGGAATACCTGATGAGAAAGGGGGTGAGGTACCCAAAGCTTTTGTGGTCCCAAGAGGAGAAATWACAGAAGAACAGATCAAAGATTATGTCGCCAGTAAAGTTTCGCCTCATAAACGATTGAGAGGTGGTGTTACTTTTGTTGATGTGATTCCAAAAACTGCAAGTGGAAAAATATTGAGGAGAGTGATTCGCAGTCAAATCAGTGACAAGAAATTAGCATAAATTGTGTCACTGCATAAAGATTACACAAATCTTTATGGCGTCTTGTTTAAAAAAAAAATCATATGTATGGTTTATACCGCGGGACCAAACTAATGAATGGTATATACAAAAAGAATCATATTTTATTGACTTTCGACTTTTTCGTAGTTTTCCTCCTTTTTAACTCGAAGATTGCGAAGCAATCGAAGAGTTATAGGAGGGAGATAGATGATGGTGTGTGAGGTGATGTGGACTAGTTAATAGGTCACTTATTTTTTCTGTAAACATACGGGCATTTAGAAACCCGTAACCAAGATGGCCAGGTGTTTTGATAAAGAAATGGCTTTTTAAACACACAAAATGTGGTTTTTGAGGTCTAGACGTTCTTGTATAAGCTTCTTACCAATCGTGTCAATATGACTCATAGATACAGCATTCTATTATAATGATTTCAAGTGGGATTATTCCCATCCTTTGTCGATCAGTATTTAATGCTCATCGATTCATATGACACTACAACAAGTAAGAACTCAAAATATAAATTTTAACGGTCAGCATTCAAAGTGAAAGTATCATCACTTCAAACTAAGAAATTGTGATGGTGTTTATAATTAACAGCGGGTTTGCCATTGTCTGTACAATTGTCTGTATCTCTTATTGACATTGAAATTGACGTCGAAAATGCTCAAAACTTTGCAGTGGAACCACGAGCGTAAGCGATAAGTCGATATCGTCAAAGGTGTTACGGATGCATTTAAATTATTAAATTCAAAATTTCAAGGTCAGTATTTTCATTTGATAGATTTTTTGTCCAAATTAGACCATATCTAAACAAAGTCTGAGGCTTCATACAGATTTATGTCCACGGTATACTTCCGGTATACTTGTGAACAATCTTCGAGTTGTGTCGCCATTGGCGGCTTGATTCTCACAAGTTGTAACTCCAGTCTTATTACTCGTGACCAGGCCCTAGGCCGGGTCACGAGTCAGAAAATGCAGCGAGTTTAGTTTTGTTGTTACACGTACCCTGCTATGCAGGGGGTACGTGTAGTAAAATGCTGACACTTTCTTGTTTTTTTTTTTTTTTTTTCACAATGTCGAAAGTTTGGCTTCGGTACATCTTCGTAGCCAATCACATTGTGAATTATATATCCGGTAGCCAATCACATTACGTTGAGTATTCCGAACGCTATAGCCTGTCGATAATCCCGTTCGCAACATTTCCAACTCGTTCTCCACAATGTTTTATCCGCCATTTTGATGAATATTGTCTCTACTAACGAATATGGAACAGAACATGAAGGTTTACDACCAAAATCTGGAACTMATTACTTGTCTGGGTGTTCGGACCAAGGKTATGTTGAATTGTGATGACGAGGAGATCTCACTACAGAGATCAACACGCTTAGTACTCGTGAAGCAACGGCAACGATCATAATGATTGAATATTAATACAACTCTTTAGAAAATGCTTATTAATTCCATGGYTATTCAAASATCTGCAWTAGAYATGTCGAGTTTTAATGTAGATGTGCAAAAATATTGTGTTACTATCATATCTAAAGTTAACTAGACGATCAGCGATCGTTTACATGGGCTTCCTGTGGTATATTACAATCAGTAAATGATATTGAACCCTAATGAAATTAATATTCCTAAGACAACAGCAAAAAAAAGATTTCCTTTAATGAAAAATAATCAAATAAGTAATGTACTTAGTAGAATTTAATAATATTGTGAAAGAAGTAATTTATGTCTGACGAGCCGTTACTTTAAGAGTCGCATCCTTGGCTGTATTAAACACAGATCGATAGTCTTTCATGTTCTTCGCTTAAAATACTTCCAATCCTCTGTTTTTCCTCAGTATAAATCTGTTGACATGTCTTAGATAAGTCCTTGGTGATTGTAGAGCCGGTACTAGTATAATTTAGCTTTTGATAAGCTAATGTTTGTTATATAATTCACGATCAGCAGATAGATCATCACGATAAATTCGCCGTATCTCTCTAAATGCCCTTTTGAGAAACGCTCGAATTTTTTTAGTGTGGCTATGCCGCGAATGGTTTGTAAAAGAATCTAGCGTATTTGTAGAAGCTAGATGACCTAGATCCAACATGTTCGATCTTAAAAACTTTGCCGGCTATTATTACACACGAGGCGACCTTTGAATCGTTGCTTAGAAACATAAATGACAGTAAGACAATAGATGTCAAAAATGAAAAGGTCCCGGATATAATTTGAAGCATACCACAGACGAACGACGGTAATTTAAGACATGGTCTTCCTTTGGAAGCCCATGTAAT